ATGGCAATTTCTGGTCCTAATAGGTATCTAAAGCCATTTGCACACCACAAAATATGTTTTTTATCAAAGTAATTGTTGAACTGAAATACAATTAAGAAGAAGTATATTAATAGTGAAATAATTATTAAGCTCTAACTTAAAATGATTTTTTATTCATAACAAACTGAATAATGCAAGCACATTGGCATTTGGCAATAACAAAAGTTCCTTGAGAAACACAATTTATAAAGACTCATAATCTAGTCTATAGAAACTTGCTAGAACATAATAATAATAATAATAATAATAATAATAATAATAATAATAATAATAATATTTTATTTATACCCCGCCCCGCCCAGCCAAGACCAACATGAAATAAAAAAAGGTGTAAATATATGATGCAAACTACTAATAATGATAAATAGCAGAATATTGGCACCCTATATATAGAAAGGAGCAAACCAGGGATATTTTAGGGAGCAGGCTAGCAGGTGGGGGCCATGACTTGCATCATAGGAGCCTACACAACACAATGTAGGTTTTATTTTATTTGTTTTTTATCTTCTATTTTGGAAATGTACATCCAGATTTTTCCCCTTTAAATTTTTTTGGGGGCCCCCAAGAGAGTGAGGCCCTAAGCTAGAGCTTGATTAGCTTATACGTAAATCCGGCACTGATTCTTCCAGAAGGCAGCTTGGCTCAAACCCTGGCAGACCCCAGGCTCCTCGCAGGCGGCTCCGTGAGCGTGTGGGAAAGAACCCACGCAGGAAACTTCCTCCAAGGCGTCGCTCAAAGCCCGTGTCATCCTCAACTGGGTCCCGTGGGGAAATATCCCAGGAGCAGCAAGGTAAGAAAGAACCCAGGAAGATCAGTGGATCAGGCCAGCTGTTCTCACAGTGGCCGGGCAGATCAGGGCGTCTTGAATTGCTCCAGCTTTCCAATTCCGAAAATGTGGGGTGCTAAAAAATTGAAGCGTGACCTGGGGATTCGAAACACGTTTGGGTTGGAATAATATTATTTCGTTTGGCTGGGTACGTAACATGCGTGGCAAAGTGCACAGAACCCATAAAAAAAAAAAGATTGCCAAGTGCTTGCATTTATACATTATTCAGGGTGTTGGTCTGGTGCAGTCAAAATAACAATAAATAAAAAATTGTCCAGTAGCACCTTATAGACCAACTAAGTTTGTTCTGGTATAAGCTTTCGTGTGCATGCACACTTCTTCTGTTTCAGTGTAATTCTATATGATTTTTATTTAGCATTACCTGAAATCTTCAGAAGGTAACATAAAAATCATTTGGTTTTCCAAAAGTAGTTGATGTGCTTTTTAATCCAAGATAAATGTTGTCGCAAAAAAAGGTGCCACGTAACCCCCACTCTGCGTTTGTAAGAACTCAATCGCTTAGTGTGGCAGAACCGACACTTTGGAACTCCCTGCCAATGGATATCAGCCTTAACTGTATTCTTATTAGCACCTGCTAGAGACATTCTTATTTAGACAAGCCTACCTAGATAGTTTAGGGAGCTTGTGTTAGTTTTGATGTGTTTTAATCTATTCTCTTGTGGTTTTATGAACATTTTCAATCATGTAACGATAATTCTATTGCCGTTTTTGTAAACTGCTTTGAGGTTTGTTTCCTGCAATCGAGTGGTTTATAAATTATATACAATAAATATTGGAGCTCAGTCAGTAGAGCACGAGACTCTTAATCTCAGGGCTGTGGGTTTGAGCCCCACACTGGGCAAAAGGTTCCTGCATGGCAGGGGGTTGGACTAGATGACCCTTGGGGTCCCTTCCAACTATAATAATATATAATAATAATTTATTATTTCTACCCCACCCATCTCGCTGGGCTTCCCCAGCCACTCTGGGCCGCTTCCAACAAAGGATTAAAATGACATTAAAACATCAGTCATTAAAAACTTCCCTAAAATGTTCTGCCTTCAGATGTCTTCTAAATGTCAGATAGTTGTTTATTTCTTTTACATCTGATGGGAGGGCGTTCCACAGGATGGGTGCCACCACCGAGAAGGCCCTCTGCCTGGTTCCCTGTAGCTTTGCTTCTTGCAATGAAGGAACCACCAGAAGGCCCTCAGAGCTGGACCTCAGTGTCTGGGTTGAACGATGGGGTGGAGACGCTCTTTCAGGTATACTGGACCGAGGCCATTTAGGGCTTTAAAGGTCAGCACCAACACTTTGAATTGCGCTCGGAAATGTACTGGGAGCCAGTGTAGGTCTTTCAAGAACGGCCGGTGTTATGTGGTCTTGGCGGCTGCCCCCAGTCCCCAGTCTAGCTGCCGCATTCTGGATTAGTTGCAGTTTCTGGGTCACCTTCAAAGGTAGCCCCATGTAGAGCGCGTTGCAGTAGTCCAGGCGGGAGATAACTAGAGCATGCACCACTCTGGCAAGACAGTCTGTGGGCAGGTGGGGTCTCAGCCTGCGTTCCAGATGGAGCTGGTAAACAGCTGCCCTGGACACAGAATTACCTGCGCCTCCATGGACAGCTGTGAGTCCAGAATGACTCCCAGGCTGCGCACCTCCGCAATTCTATGAAAAAAGATGAGTGGAATGGCCATGCTGGCTGAGACTGATGGGAGTGGTAGTTCCAAGCCTCTGGGTTGCAGAACGTTGCAGGGTCCTCCACGTTCATCTGGTTTGCAAACTCCCAACCTGTCCCGCTTCCTCCCTTTCTGCTCCGTCCAGGGCAGGAGTCCTGCAGCGCCGCAGTTCCAGTGCTGCGTGTGCAGCAAGCACTTCCCTCTGCAGCGCATGCTGAACCGCCACCTCAAGTGCCACAGCTCGGTCAAGAAGCACGTCTGCAGGTACTGCGGCAAGGGCTTCAACGACACCTTTGACCTCAAGAGGCACCTGAGGACGCACACAGGTGGGGACCGCACCCCGCAAGAGCCTTGGCTCTCGTTGCTCACCTGGGTGGGGAATTGACAAACGTAACATCCATATTGACCAATGTATTGTTTTTGTTGTTGTGGCAGGAATTTATGTCTAGGTTGGGGGGGGGTTGCCCCTCCAGCAGATATCATGCACATGCAGCCCACTACCAAAACCAGCACAATCGCTTTTGTGACTTGTCCCCACAAAACACTTCATCACAGTTTCTTCCTATCTATTCCAAGGGCCTTTGCTGCACAATACCAAATGTAAGAATTCACTGATCAATGGATCTCTGTACTGGCTCAAAGGGAAAACTCCAGAAATTCCTATAGACATGTGAGCTCAGCTACTCATCAGCCCCTCTGCCTGAGGCATCCTGATACTGCTCTATTTGCAGTCCTTGTTTTGCTGATTTCATTTAATATTCTAATTTTCTGAGATTGTTAATTTGGGGTTTTCATCAGCTGTACGCCATAATCATCACAATTATAACAAATAAAGGCTTGACATCTCTCACTTTGAATGTCATGAGTCTATCTCATATATTAGTTTCACCTTTTAAGTTGAATTACTGAAATAAATGAACTTTTCCACCATATTCTAATTTTTTGAGTTTCCAGTGGAAATTTCTAAGGGACTTTTTGCATGAAAGCAAAAATGAGTATCTGGAATTGAAGATTGACAAAACACTGAATTGTAGAGGTTTTATTATTTTGCGATTTTGTATCTTGATTTTATTCCGTGAACCGCCTTGAGACGCCTGGATACAGGGCGGTATATAAATTCAATAAATAATAATACAGGCCTGTCCACCTGACATTTGTTCCTCCGCAGGCATCCGCCCGTACCGCTGCTGCGTCTGCGACAAAGCCTTCACCCAGCGCTGCTCCCTTGAGTCGCACCTCAAGAAAATCCACAGCATCCAGCAGCGATACGCTTACCGCGAGCGCCGCTCCAAGCTCTTTGTGTGCGAGGAGTGCGGCTTCACCTGCAGCGGCAGCGAGGAGTACTACGGCCACGTCCGCCGCCTGCACCCCGGCCACGGGATCCTGGCCAGAGGGTTCCAGAAGGTGGCGCCGGCCGACCTCCACCCCAGGTTCCACGTCCTCTACCCTTCTGCATACTGAGGCCCGGAGGCCAGGGCCGAGGAAACTGGGAAACAGCAGCACCCAAATCCCATGTAAGGAAAACGGGGAAGTAGAAAAACTAGCCAAATCATGCATTTGGAGTACGCTGCCCGTGCCAAGAGGGGACTGTGCCAATTCTGCACCTCTTCTAAGTGTTGGGCGTCTCGCCCAGCCCTGCCTTGAGATTTCCGTTTCTCAAAATTAGCTGTTACCAAAATACGCGACGGCAGTCTCAGAGGACTAGAAACTTTTGTTTTCAAAATGAAGGTTCCCAGAAGGGTGTGTTTTCAAGTCTTCTCTCCAAGCTCGGTTGCGGGTGCCCTCGCTTTCTGAGGTGAGATGGGAGACCACCAGGGGCAGGGCTTTTTCTGTGGTGGCCCCCCAGCTGTGGAACACACTCTGCAGGCATTTCGGCCTTTGTGACGCTCTTCCAGGCACCAACCAAAACCCTTTTGCACTTGCCCAAGTTTTTGGCTGCGCGGAATATGTGGCTGTTTCCAATCTGTTAATCTTGTAATGAGTTGCGTTTTGTCGCATGCCGCCTTGCGGGGCCAATAGTGGTGGCGAGACAGCATACAATTATATTTAAAACTGTGTTTCCTCGTGGCCAGGGGAATATTTTGTTCTGCTTCCTGCTTAAACATAACCGGCCTCCTCTCTGAACATGGCAGTCTTGCATTATAGCTCATTTTTTAAAAAGCGGGCAGGCACAAGCTATCTTTAAAGCCACACCTCTAAACCGGACACTCAGCCCCATCATCCTGGTTGGGATGGAGTGGGCTGGAATGAGGGAAAGGTAGGCAAACCGCACATGCTTTATCCCACATGACCTGAACCCTAGAGCATGGGGGTGGACTAGATGACCCCTGGGTCCCGTCCAACTCTTAAGGTTCTACTATTCTTTTATTCTCGCCAAGCTACTTTAACTGTGTTCAGATGTGCCAGCCTCAGCTGCCCCACCCAGGAAGGCTTGAGGAAGCACAACTTTGGGGCTTTTGTAAAAATATAAACCATGTTTTATTAACAGAGCCAAAAACACAAACAACCCAAGTCAAAGAGGGTGTCTAGGCACAGACAGGCAGCAGTTGAATCATCTGGAAGTTTGTCAGAAAGGAGAGAAATTAAGGTAACGTCAGGAAAGGGACAAGGAGGGGGCTGACATCTCCACGGGCTTCACTCTGTCCAGCGGTGACCGCAGTGTGGGGCCGTGCAGACGTAATACAGCCGCATGGCATCCTAAAGCAGAGAGGGAAGGGGTGAGACGGGGGTTCCAGGTGTGTTTCCATTCCTTGCCCCCGTGATCATAAAGACCTCCGGGGAAATGTGAAGGCTTAAAACCCAACAGAACCAGAAGCCACCTTTCAAACCTCCACAGACCCCAATCCCCAGGTTTTGGAGCTCTGGATAAAAAACTCCTGCTGTGTTTGCAACATAACCATAATGCTGTTTTGTTTTGAACTGTAAATGCAGAACCGCAAATTGCTTTGGCACTGGGAACGCCCTTCTGCGAGTCTGTAAGGAGCTCAGCTGAAACACCCACCCCTGGTGGAGTTTTTTAAAGTGACAAGAGACTCCAAACTCTATGGCAGCCGCCCAGCTGGTTTTAAGAGGAGATATTTGAATAAGTGAGTGGGGAAGCAGGTGGAAAACAGACATGCAAATCACGTGGGGTCACGGCTGAAATTCTGCTACTGAAGTAGAGGACCCGATGTAGGGAAACCCACATGCAAAGCGAGTGAATGTCATTGCTCGAAACTTTTAAGAGGGTTGTCGCTGCCAGGGGTTACAAAAACATCAGCTGCCCTAGATCTCAAAAGAAGTCTCCTCACCTCAGCCCTTGCGCTGTGAGACTGGAAGAACACGGCTTCCTTGTGACCGCACCTGGAAGACAGGGGTAGGAAGATCTGGTTATGAGGCAGGGCAAATCCCGGAAGCGCAGAGGAAATGGCCCACACCCCGCCTTCCCAAGCTGGTATCCCACGCCCGATGTCTGGGACTAGCTGAGGGGAGTCCAAAATGTCTGGGAGGGCTGGCCTCCTTCAAAGGCTTTTGTTTGTCCCAGGCTGTTCTATGCTTTGTGGCCTTTGCCAGACTTTTTAAAAATAAGAAGAATGGCTACAGCTCAGCACTCACTTTTGGCAAGGGTGGTCCTCTGTTCGGGGCAGAGTTGGGTCCTGGGAAACGTCAGCAATGATCTGGGTTAGTTCACTGAAATGCAGATGGTTATAAAGTGATTCTTTTGACTGCCCACTCCCAGTCAGCCCATCTTGAAAATACAGTGGAAACCAGTATGGGATGAACGGCAGTCTCTTGCTGTCAAAAGTGAGCCCCATCCCCCGGGGGGGGAACCTTTTCTTTTGCAGTCATCATTCTTCTCACTGCACTGCCCCCATGACACCTGACTGCTTCCTTACCACCTTTCTGAATTTTCCAAAAAAAACCTCTTCTCTTGTTTCTCCACCCACATCGTTCTGCCTGGATGCTGAGGTCCAGCACTGAGGGCCTTCTGGCAGTTCCCTCATTGCGAGAAGTGAGGTTACAGGGAACCAGGCAGAGGGCCTTCTCAGTGGTGGCGCCCGCCCTGTGGAACGCCCTCCCACCAGATGTCAAAGAGATAAACAACTACCTGACATTCAGAAGACATCTGAAGGCAGCCCTGTTCAGGGAAGTTTTTAATGACTAATGTTTTAATGTAATTTTAATCCTTTGTTGGAAGCCGCCCAGAGTGGCTGGGGAAACCCAGCCAGATGGGCAGGGTACAAATAATAAATCATTATTATTATTATTATTATTATTGTTTCTGTGTGGGTGCTCCCCACCCCCACTCCCTCTGCCCATCTTGGCCTGGCACCTGGATTGGAAACTATGGTTCTGTGAAGGCAGCCAAGAAATAACTTTTCACTGCAGCTACATCACTTCGCCAGTTCACGTTCAGCTTGTGATCAACCACTAGGGCATTTCCCCATGTTTCACTTGTCTGAACAAAGTGGATGCAAAACTAGGCTGGGTTTTCAACGCAGGAATACAGCAGGTTGCCTTATGTGAAGTCAGCACGTTCCCTTATGCAGCGTGGCTGGCAATGGCCTCTCCAGGGCTTCAGGCAGATCAACACAGGCCAGCAATTCCTTCAAGGCAGCTGCTGGTACTTACTCAACTTCATGCGTGATCTTATTGACGTAGATGCAGCTATTGTCAGCCTCCTGCTGGTAGTCGCAGTTGCGGCACTGCAGGGAGAAGAGGAGAATGGTCACACATTCACGTTCCCAGCAAGCCCTGGGGGGGCAAAACATTGCAATACAAGATTGATTCTAGGAGGGAGAAACTGCCTGGGTGTCACGGACTGGTTGGACGTAGAGGAACGGTGGGAGGCACCAGCTGGGGAACCCCCAAGGGAAGAAGGCTCCGAGTGCCAGGATTAGTGGTGGGACAGAGGGAGGAGATGGGGAGGAGGAGGTGTCAGAAGCTGAAGGTGTAGCACGGCTTACTGAGCTCGGAGTCTGCGGCAGAGAAAAGTCAAGAGAGTGGCGGAAGAGCAGGATGAGGGAGGCCAAGAGGCAGAGGTGAGTCAGGCTAGTGAAGCAGCACAGGTGTCTCCCCCTCCTGCTGTGACAAGTTCCCCTCTTCCCTGGGCTCCCAGGACCAGGAGAGGTATGAAGTGTGAGGAGCAAAGGAAGACCTGCAGGCATAGTCTCAGATTGCTAAGGAAAGACCTGGAAAGACCTGGAAGAGGAGACTTAGGCAGCTGTGGGAAGGCAGGGGCCTTCAGTCTCCGCAACTGCTACATAAAGGACAAGACCTACCAAAGGAGAGTCGCTGGGCTCATTAGGCCTGGCATTCCTGTGCGGATCCTGTTTTTCTAATAAAGCGTTAACCACCTGCTCTGTGTGATTCACTGCTGTCTCTCTCCTGACACTGCACATCCGTGATCCGTACCCAGCAATCTCAAAGGCTAAGTTATGGCTGCCTCCCAAGGTCCGCAGCTCGAAGCTAGCAAACACGGCACAAAATGACCAAGCTCGCCCCTTTCCAGGCCGAAAGGTCCCACCCAGGCAGCTGACCTGGGAAGGGACTGCCACAAAGCCACAACAGCTCACGGTGAAACCCTGCACTCAAGAGTCTACCTGAAGAGAGTATTGCCACCTGACACTCACAGCATAGAGAAGGATCCTGTTCTCTTTGTCTTCTTTAGGGTACAACATGTTGTTGCTGTTCAAAAAGAGAGAAGAGAGAGAAAGATTTAAGTGAGTTTCTTGGATAAAAGGTGAGATGCAAATGTAAAACTAGAACTAGTTGGATGGACATCCAATGCAGCTGAACGGGGAGTGGGGGACCAACAGCTGAGAGCTGCCTTGCCCGGCCCTGGCACCCTCCAGATGTTGTGGGCAGCAGCAGCTGTTCTGGCTTCAGCTGACAGGAGCTGGAGCCCAAAGCCCAGGGGCAGAAAGCAGCTGCTTTGCACGGAGAAAGTCCCAGGTTCAAGTCTCTGCAGCATCTCCAGTAGGGCTGGGAGGTACTCACTGCCTGAAATCCTGGAGACCTCTGCTGCCAGTCAGTGTAGACCATATGGGGCTAGATGGACCCCTAAGTCTGACTCAGCACAAGGCTTAGCGATTCCTGCGTCCAAGTCCCTCATAAACATGGCAGGATAACTTTTTCTGATGCTAAGAGCTGTTAGGCAGTGGAAGAGACTCCTCAGAAGATGGCAGACTCTCCAGTGAGAGCCAGTGGGGTATAGTGGTTAAGAGCAGTGGACTCGTAATCTGGGGAACCGGGTTGGCTTCCCCGCTCCTCCACCTGCAGCTGCTGGGTGACCTTGGGCCAGTCACACGTCTCTGAAGTCTCTCTGCCTCACTCACCTCAGAGTGTTTGTTGTTGGGGAGGAAGGGAAAGGAGATTGTGAGCCGCTTTGAGACTCCTTCGGGTAGGGATAAAGCCGGATATCAAACCCAAACTCTTCTTCTCTTCCTTCCATGGAGGTTTTTAAGCGGAGGTTGGATGGCCCCCTGTCAGGGATGCTTCAGCTGTGATTCCTGCCGGGCAACGGGGTTAGTCTAGCTGGCCCCTGGGAGCCCCTCCACAATGCTATTATTCCTTCACCCCAGTTTTAAAAGCGAACCCATTTTTTTTTGTTCTGCAGCTCAGCAGGATTGCTGCCTGTCTTTGTTTTCCCATTAAGTTATCAGAACATGAATCTGTTGGTGAACAGAACTCCAAGAGACGCTAGATGGGCAGCTTGAAGCACATTCATTTCTCCTCACTTTTCATAAATTGAGGGACGCAGGAATACTAATTATGTTGTTGCTCTTTAATTATTTCTACCCTGCCCATCTGGCTGGGTTGCCCCAGCTTGCAACATATATAAAAACATAATAAAACATTGCACATTATAAAAGTATGCCCTTATTGAAGTCCTCAGCCTCCCTGATAATGGCCCTCACTATGCTACATTAAAGGGATACGGGTGGCTCTGTCCTCTAAACCATTAAGCTTCTTGGGCTTGCCATCGGAAGGTCAGCAGTTCGAATCCACACAACAGAGTGAGCTCCCCTTGCTCTGTCCCAGCTCCTGCCAACCTAGCAGTTCAAAAGCATGCCAGTGCAGGTAGATAAATAGGTACCGCTGTGGCGGGAAGGTAAATGGCGTTTCCATGCTCTCTGGTTTCCGTCACGGTGTCCCGTTGTGCCAGAAGCGGTTTAGTCCTGCTGGCCACATGACCTGGAAAGCTGTCTGTGGACAAACACCGGCTCCCTAGGCCTGAAAGCGAGATGAGCGCCACAACCCCAGAGTCGCCTTTCACTGGACTTAACCATCTGGGGGTCCTTTATCTTTTTTACCTTTTACAATAAGTAGGCTTGGGTGTCTTTTCTGCCACGCACGTTTACGTGTAAGAGGAGCCCACTAGTCATGCAGTGCCAGCCCACAGAACAGCACTTTCTGGAAAAGACCTCCAAACAATCATTATACCCTTATTGTCATTACTAATTCCCAGGTTGTGGCCACAGTTGCATGCTATCAGCTTCAAGGAGCCACAGATGAGAGCCGAGTGCAAGGCTGGGACCAGAGGTGGAAGGAGAATGACATGCTCTAACAGCCCATATGCCCCTGGAGGGGAGCCAATGGGTCTCAAATCCTCGGTGCGTTAGGAACTTCCCCTACGTGTGAAGACAGTTTCCAGCGAATTGAGCAAATGAGACCAACAGGAGGTCCAGCGGCCAAGAAGGCGGTTCCTGCCTATGCTACAGAGGGAAGAGAGATGGGGCTCAGTCACCTGGGAAGGGACCCCATCAAGAGGAAGGAAAACTCTGGTCCTAAATCTCTGCTGCCTTTCAGGATATCTTTGGGAGAAGAGTGTGATGGCCTGGGACTCGGGCTCGGACTCGGAACCAGAGGAGTCTCAGTCCGCACTGGATCCTTTGCCTCAGGCGGCATCTGAACCTAGTCTGGGGCCTGATCCTGAAGAGTCCCAGTCTGCACAGGTTCCCCTGCAGCAAGCCCCAGCTGGGCCGAGTCAGGGGCCTGAGCCTGCCCTGGCTCCAGATGCAGGGATGACCTCCTTGCCTCCAGCTGAGCCATCACTTACAGCTGCTCCACTTGGTCAGGAGAGGCTGAGGCGGCCCCTGGGTCTAGTCACCCACCGACGTCTCCCGAGCTGCAGAGACTGAGGTCTGAGAGAAGGAGAGACCCTGAGTACTCGCAGGAGGAGTGCTCGCCTTCGGGCGAGACAGGGAGGTGGGTCGCTGGGGGATCAGGACCGGCCGCTACCCCAACAAAGATAAAAGGCTGTTGGACCCCGTCCCAGGTTGCGGGAGCAACGTTGCTGTTGGCCAGAACCTGCCTGAGATCCTGTGCCTGTCCTTGCCTGGTTTCCTGCCTCATGTCCTGCCAGAGTGACTCCTCGCAGAACCATTGGATTCGGGGCTGGACCTGGACCGCATTGCTCGGGGTAACCCTTGGGCCCAGTACAAAGAGAAAGCTAAGGCGTAAACCCTACACAAATCCAGAGTGGAGTCAGCTAAGGAGGCTGGGTGGCGTCTTGTGCACCTCTTTCCGTCAACTCCTGCCGCCAAGTTGGTGCCAAACGCATAGCTCTGCTTTCCTTTGGACCACCTCAGCGAGGCCGAGACGGGGGTCTTCTCATCCGGGCAGCCCAGGACCTCCAGACACACTGCCCAGGCTTGCACCCGGGGAGGTCATTTCAGTGATGCTAAGAAGAAGAAGAAGAGATTGGATTTGATATCCCGCGTTTCACTCCCTTTAAGGAGTCTCAAAGCGGCTAACAATCTCCTTTCCCTTCCTCCCCCACAACAAACACTCTGTGAGGTGAGTGGGGCTGAGAGACTTCAGAGAAGTGTGACTAGCCCAAGGTCACCCAGCAGCTGCATGTGGAGGAGCAGGGAAGCGAACCCGGTTCCCCAGATTACGTGACTACCGCTCTTAACCACTACACCACACTGGCTCTCCATGACTAACACAGCAGTTTGACTTCACCCCCTGAGGCACACTCCACTGTCTCTCGAGACAAACAGGCGGCAACGATGATTACTTTTTAAGTTTGCATGCCGCCCTTTACTGAACATACAGTGGCGCGCCTTCCCCTCTGTCCCCGGAGATTGCGGGGCTGGCAACGGGGAGAAGCGATATTCTCCCTGCCGCCCGTTGCTTCAAAAGAGGTCTGGGGACAGCGGGGAAGACGCGCTGCGCTTCCCCGCTATCCCCGGAGCTTGCGGGGCAAGCTTCGTTTTGTGAAGCAAGCCCATAGGGAAATGCGTCTTGCGAAGCGGCTAAGAAAACGAAAAACTCCTTCGTCTAGCGAGTTTTTCGTCTTCCGAGGCGTTCGTCTTGCGGGGCACCACTGTACTGTTCCCAATTAACGCTCCAGTGACCCAAACGCTCCAGAAACAACAACAGTTGTTGAAACGCTCCAGAAACAACAACAGTTGTTGGAATATTATGCTGGAATATTATAGCTTGCTTCAGGTGATTTGGAGAGAGTTTGACTTCAGCCCCAGAGGCGCACAGACATGTGCCAACTAAGATGACTTTTTAAGTTTGCTTACCGCCCTGTTTGGAACACAGAGTTCTCAACTTGGGAGGAGAAGAAGAGAGGGCCATGAAATAACCACACGGATTACTCTTAAAAGCAATTACTGCTCGAGTCTTATCGCCTGAGACAGATGATTCACATACTGGTGACATTGCGCTCCAAACACCTGACATGACATGTTGGTGATCTCATGATCCATATTTCCCAGCAGATTGATATTGAAATTAAAAAGTACAGGGAACGAGATAAAATCGTACAATATTCTAAAGTACCACGGCCAAGGAGTCTGTCACCTGCCCTCCATCGCCTCTCTCTGGGAACAGTCCCACAGCTCAGCAGCCAGCGCATTGAGGCTCTTCTGACTGAATCTAAATCCCAAAGCCAGATTAAAATGGATCCAGATAACTCTAAACTGGTGACTGGGAGCGGCCACCAAGACCATATAACACCAGTCCTGAAAGACCTACATTGGCTCCCAGTACGTTTGGCTGACCTTTCAAGCCCTCAACGGCCTCGGCCCAGTAGACCTGAAGGAGCGCCTCCACCCCCATCGTTCTGCCCGGGATGCTGAGGTCCAGCTCTGAGGGCCTTCTGGCGGTTCCCTCCCTGCAAGAAGTAAGGTTACAGGGAACCAGGCAGAGGGCCTTCTCAGTGGTGGCACCCACCCTGTGGAACGCCCTCCCATCAGATGTCAAGGAAATAAACAACCATCTGATGTTTAGAAGACATCTGAAGGCAGCTCTGTTTAGGGAAGCTTTTAATGTCTCATGTTTTACTGAATTTTAAATATTTTGTTGCAAGCCGCCCAGAGTGGCTGTGGTATAAGTTGTTGTTGTTCATCATCATCATCATCAAAGCTTTTATCGGCTTCATATACAAACATCCATAACATAACAGTACAGAGTTACTGCTTCCCCTGTGGCACAAAGGAGAGGCAGAGCAGACTATTGTCACATCTCTAGGTCTCCAGGGAGATCAGTCGTCTACAATGTGTTTCGACAACAGAATACAGTGGTACTTCAGGATGTGAACGAGATCCGTTCCAGAGCCCCGTTCACATCCTGAATGGAACGTAAGACGCGCCTGCGCACGTTTCGCTGCTTCCGCACATGCGCGTGGCGTGATTTTGACCGTCTGCGCAAGCGGCAAAACCTGAAAGTAACACGCTACGTTCCTTCCAGGTCGCCGTGGAGCGCAACCCAAAAATACTTTTCCTGAAGCATATTTATCCCGAGGTATGACTGTACCAGATAAATATATTTGGCCCCTAACTTGGTGAGCTCCTGGTCATTCCCCAATAGTAGAAAGTGTATGACCTCTGGTTTCCATTTGGGGATGCAGAGTTGCTCTAGGAACTGCTGGCGGAGATCAGCATATAGTTTACATTTAAGAACCAGATGAGTCAGAGTTTCCACCAGGTGCTCATCCCTTGGGCAGATTCTACCTCTCTCCGCCATGCCCAGGCACCTTCCACATGGGTTGGAGCTGAACCTGGCCAGCGAAAAGGCCCTTCCTTCTTGAGGGTTGAGCAGAAATTCGAGGTAGTTGTGGTTAGTTTCATGTGCCCAGGAAAGTTGAAAGTCAAGAGGGGAGCATGTTGTTGTTAAATTGTTGTTGTTGTTTCCTATTATTCCCCTTACTATGATCGCTGCTGCTGTTGCTCCACCACGTGCATCTCTCCCTAACTCCGTGTATCTGAAGAAGGGTGCATGCACACGAAAGCTCATGCCAATAACTAACTTAGAAGGTAAAGGGAAGAACCAGAGATCTGTTCAAGAAAATTGGAGATATGAAAGGAACATTTCGTACCAAGATTACCATAATAAAGGACAAAAGTGGTAAGGACCTAACAGAAGCAGAAGACATCAAGAAGAGGTGGCAAGAATACACAGAGGAATTATACCAGAAAGATATGGATGTCTCGTACACCCCAGGTAGTGTGGTTGCTGACCTTGAGCCAGATATCCTGGAGAGTGAAGTCAAATGGGCCTTAGAAAGCACTGCAAATAACAAGGCCAGTGGAAGTGATGGTATTCCAGCTGAACTATTTAAAATTTTAAAAGATGATGCTGTTAAGGTGCTACACTCAATATGCCAGCAAATTTGGAAAACTCCGCAGTGGCCAGAAGATTGGAGAAGATCAGTCTACATCCCAGTCCCAAAGAAGGGCAGTGCCAAAGAATGCTCCAACTACCGCACAATTGCACTCATTTCACACGCTAGCAAGGTTATGCTTAAAATTCTACAAGGAAGGCTCAAGCAGTATGTGGATCGAGAACTCCCAGAAGTGCAAACTGGATTTCCAAGGGGCAGAGGAACCAGAGACCAAATTGCAAACATGCGCTGGATTATGGAGAAAGCTAGAGTTCCAGAAAGACATCTACTTCTGCTTCACTGACTACGCAAAAGCCTTTGACTGTGTCGACCACAGCAAACTATGGCAAGTTCTTAAAGAAATGGGAGTGCCTGATCACCTCATCTGTCTCCTGAGAAATCTCTATGTAGGACAAGAAGCTACAGTTAGAACTGGATATGGAACAACTGATTGGTTCAAAATTGGGAAAGGAGTACGACAAGGCTGTATTTTGTCTCCCTGCTTATTTAACTTATATGCAGAATACATCATGCGAAAGGCTGGGCTGGATGAATCCCAAACTGGAATTAAGATTGCCGGAAGAAATATCAACAACCTCAGATATGCAGATGACACCACCTTGATGGCAGAAAGTGAGGAGGAATTAAAGAACCTTTTATTGAGGGTGAAAGAGGAGAGCGCAAAATAAGGTCTGAAGCTCAACATCAAAAAAACGAAGATCATGGCCACTGGTCCCATCACCTCCTGGCAAATAGAAGGGGAAGAAATGGAGGCAATGAGAGATTTTAGTTTCTTGGGCTCCATGATCACTGCAGATGGTGACAGCAGCCACGAAATTAAAAGACGCCTGCTCCTTGGGAGAAAGGCGATGGCAAATCTAGACAACATCTTAAAAAGTAGAGACGTCACCTTGCCAACAAAGGTCCGTATAGTTAAAGCCATGGTTTTCCCAGTAGTGATGTATGGAAGTGAGAGCTGGACCATAAAGAAGGCTGATCGCCGAAGAATTGATGCTTTTGAATTCTGGTGCTGGAGGAGACTCTTGAGAGTCCCATGGACTGCAAGAAGATCAAACCTCTCCATTCTGAAGGAAATCAGCCCTGAGTGCTCACTGGAAGGACAGAACCTGAAGCTGAGGCTCCAAGACTTTGGCCACCTCATGAGAAGAGAAGACTCCCTGGAAAAGACCCTGATGTTGGGAAAGATGGAGGGCACAAGGAGAAGGGGACGACAGAGGACGAGATGGTGGGACAGTGTTCTCGAAGCCACCAGCATGAGTTTGACCAAACTGCGGGAGGCAGTGGAAGACAGGAGGGCCTGGCGTGCTCTGGTCCAGGGGGTCACAAAGAGGCGGACACGACTAAATGGCTAAACAACAACAACAAAGAGACTCCTGACCATTAGGTCCAGTCGTGGCCGACTCTGGGGCTGTGGCGCTCATCTCGCTTTACTGGCCGAGGGAGCCGGCGTACAGCTTCCGGGTCATGTGGCCAGCAGGACTAAGCCGCTTCTGGCGAACCAGAGCAGCTCACAGAAATGCCGTTTACCTTCCCCAGTGGCGTAGCGTGGGTTGTCAGCACCCGGGGCAAGGCAAGTAATTTGCGCCCCCTAACCCGTGGATTTGTGCCCCCTAACCCGTGGATTTGCGCCCCCTAACCCGTGGATTTGCGCCCCCTAACCCGTGGATTTGCGCCCCCTAACCTGTGGATTTGCCCTAACCCCAGATGTTGTGCCCGGTGCGGCCGGCCCCCCCCGCACCCCCCACGCTACGCCACTGACCTTCCCGCCAGAGCGGTACCTATTCTTCTACTTGCACTTGGACGTCCGTCGCGGGGATTCGAACCGCCGACCTTCTGATCCACAGTGGTTTAGACCACAGCACCACCTGCGTCCCCTAATAACTAACTTAGTTGGTCTCTAAGGTGCTACTGGAAGGAATTTTTAAATTAAATTAAATTAAATTTATTTTTCTTTCCCTAAGCCTTGACTGTGTTTTGGGAAAACAACCCAGTCCCTGTTTATTTTCGGTTATTGATTATGCAGGATACCCCCCATTCTCGGGATATCACAGACCTGCAGCGTTGGGAGGGGGACCCCCGAGGTCCTCTAGTCCAGCCCCCCGAGGGGACTGATGGGGGCCGTTCAATGCGGCCCCCGCCCTCTCCTCCTCCTCCCCCCGTTCCGCCGCCCCCGCCGCCCCCTCCGGCCTCACCATTCCTGGCAGAAGCGGATCCCCACGAAGCCCGGCTCGTAGGCCCCTTCCGACTCCATGGCAACCGCCCCGACTGCGCAGGCGCAAAGCGCTCCTCCCGCCCGGAGCCCCGCTCAGGCTCGGCTTCCCGGGCTCGGACTGCGCAGGCGCGGCTCCCGGCGTCCACCGCCCGCGCCTGCGCTTCTCCTTTTTGGGCGCTTCGGCTACGGCAGCCGTCAGGGGCCAGAATAGACCCGAGCGCGGCCGCTCCGAAGTCTGCGCGCGCGGAAATGGATGTTCTGGTCGCCTCGCCTGAAAAAGGAGATGGAAAAGGATTCAGGGGAAAAAGGGGACCCCAAATGATACAGAGGAGGGAGGGACTCCCCGCTTGGGAGAAAGGGTACACCCTGGAAATAAATAATCATAAAAATAAGGGAATTATTATTATTATTCAGAATATTTTTATTGGCTTTACAATTTAATATTCCGCACATCAATATAATAATAATAATAGTAATAGAATTCATACATATCCCCCCCCCAGCCTGTGACTTCCCTCAACTTCCCCTTCTGGTTCATTAAATGTTTGCTACTTCTGCTTAATTTATTTCCCCCTATTTTCTTAATCTTTTCATTAAATGCTCTTATATTCTTTTCACTTATTTATACCCTATTTTCTTTCCAATTATATTTTCATTTAGTTAATTTCCGATTTATTGCTTCTTAATCTTTACGTTTGTTTTCATAATTGTGTTTACTCAAATCCTGCTAATGAGTCCATTTCTTTACAGTGTTTCTGTAACTACAGCAGGAACGGTTCCCAGTCTTTTTTAGCAGTCTCTGTTGTCCTTGTCTCTGAGTCTTCCCGTGAGTTTAGCCATTTCTGCGCATTCCATAAGTTTAACTTGCCATTCTTATTTTGTTGGTATCTTGTTGTCTTTCCATCCTAGAGGCATGAACAACTTCTTCCCCTCTTTTGGCAATTCCTGCCCTATAAAGGTATTATGATTATTAGATCCTTTCCAGAAAGTGCTGTTCTGTGGGACCCGTGGGGGGCTTCTCTTACACGTAAACATGCTTGGCAGGAAAGACGCCCAAGCCTACTCAATGTAGCATAACGAGGGCCATTATCAGGGTGGCTGAGGACTTCCAATAAGACAAAGGCATACTTTTTAATGTCCAATGTTTTATTATGTTTTTATATATGTTTGAAGCACTGCAGCGCCACTTTAAAGAGACATGGCTCCCACCCCATCCCTCTCCACGGTGTCACAAGAATTCTAAGGCATCACAAATAAAAACGAAGGCTCATAAATGCACAAGATAAACAAACGTACGTAAGTACCCAAACCACGTGTCTGAAATAGTGCAGGGGAGAAATCATGAAGCCGCCTTGGCTCTTAATCACCGCAAATATTTCCTCTTGGACAGCACTTGGACAGGAGGAACCAGTTGCCCAAATGTAACATGGGCAACAGGCTGTCTTGCTAGTAGAACATGTGAAAAGGATCCGGGTGTCTTAGTGGATCACAGTCTGAACATGAGTAAACAGTGTGATGCAACAGCAAAACAAGAAAAGAAAAAGCTGGTGTAATTCCAGGCTGCATTAGCAGAATTACCATGTCCAAACCAAGGGAAGTAATGTTGTTGTTGAGTCGTTTAGTCGTGTCTGTTGGGATACTGCCAGGGAGATAACGCCCATCTTAGCCCCCAAGCCGGCTGCCGGACGATCCATCGACCTCCCGTAGTCACGCAGTCACGCAGTATCAGCAATTAGCGACACGAAGCCTTAGAAATAGATTGCCACATTCCTAGGCTGGTCCACACTCTTTCAGCAGAATCCACACAGCAAAAGATGCACAGCAGGAGAGCATATTTACAAGTTTATTCAACATTGGTCAGAACAAAGAAAAGACATGACCGTCTGCTTCAGCGTTCAAGCACAGAGAGTGAAAACGAAAGCAATAGCAAACATAAACATCCTGTAACAGGAAATACGCAGACTCTGTGACTCACAAAAGCCTGCTCCCTTTTAAGGTGGAACGGAAATATCCTAACATCCTCCCCCTTTCCGTGTAACCTGTAGTACCTGTGGTTCAACCCAATTGCAACCTCTGTACGTAAACCTTAAGTTGTTCTCTGTTAACAACCTTAGACAACAGATCAGCAGGAATTTCATTTCCTGCCATGTAGGACACCCGAATCAGTCCCTTTTGAATACACTCTCTTGCACGATGTAGCTTAATCTGCAAGTACTTGGTTCTTTGCTTGCAACTCTCTGAGTTCAGCAAAGCCAAACATGATCTATTGTCTTGATACACTTGTATAGGACATTTCACAGAAACTCCGATGTCCTTAAACAGTTGCATCAACCATTCACAATCCATGAGTGAAGATGATAGAGCATTGAGTTCTGCTTCACAGGAACTTAGGCTCACTGTCATCTGCTTCTTACACAACCAAACAGGCAGTGGCTGTACATGTAGCATACTCCAGAAGTGCTTGTACCATCCGTGGTGTCACTTCCAAAACTTGCATCTGCAAAGATTTCAAGACCTCCAGTCTTCTGACTGGTGAACCTCAGCCTGTAGTGCATAGTCCCTTTCAAATAGCGGGCTATGCGCTTCAGAGCTTTCCAATCCTGAACAGTAGGATTGTTAGCATGTCTGCTAAGCAGGTTAGTGCTTACAGCTATGTCAGGCCTTGAACATCTAGCAATGAAATTCAACTTGCCTAGAATGCATCTGTACAGCGTAGTGTCAGAAAACGCTTCAGCAGTACTATCTACCTGGTAACCTGTCACCATCGGTGTGTCTGCTGGGTTTGCATCAACCAAATTCAACCTGGTTAATACATCAGCAATTTTCTGTGTTTGGTGTACCAGAAAATTACCTGCTTGGTCCCTCTCCACCTGCAGAGAAAGATAGTTGGATACCTCACCAAGATCCTTCATGTCAAAGTGCTCCTTCAGTTGAGCTAGGGTGCTTTGGTAAAAAGCCTGATTCTTCCAAAACATCAGAAGATCATCAACAAAACATAAACCAAAGATTCTCATATGCTTGACGTTCGGTTGTTTACCAAACATCTTCTCATACGGAGTACAACCAATAGGTGATGACAGTCTGCGATTAACGGTATAAACTACCGTTGACAGAGCTTCCCCCCAAAACTTCTCAGGGAGGTTGGCATCATGCAACAAGGTTTTCATTCCTTGCAGCAACGTTTGATTTGCTCGCTCCGCAAGTCCATTCATCCATGGCGATCTAGGCATTGACAAGTCATGCTGGATTCCCTTCTCAGTCAGGAAAGCTTCAAACTGCTGAGAAGTGAACTCCCCGCCCCGATCAGTAAAGAGACAGCCGATACGTTTTCCGTGAGCATTCTCCAACCAAGCACAGAATGCTTTGAACCTAGGAAACGCTTGCGATTTCTGCTCGAGCATAAACACATGAATGTACCTGGAAAAAGAATCAATTAGAACCATGAAGTACCTTGCTCCACCCAAAGAGGGCGCAAGTGGACCAACCAGGTCTGCATGAACTAGCTGGTAGGGTTTGGAAGCCTGCCTGCTAGACTCCTTGCCTTTTGGAGCAACCTTCACCTTGTTCTCTGCACAAGATACACATTTCATGTGAAATTTACAGGGTTTGATGTTCAAACCTTCAACCAACCCAGGCATCTTGGCCAGCGCTTGCCAAGACATGTGACAAAATCTTTGATGTGCATCGCGAATGCATCCTGCATGAAGAACTTTGTTAGTTTGTGCAACACAAGAATCAGCATTAGACACAGCAACAGCATTGTCATCATAAGTTATACAGAATAAACCATCTATAAACTTTGCATGCAAAATGTCCTCTTTGCCTTTCCTGATGACACAGACGCTCCTCTTGAAGGAAACTTCAAAACCATGCAGAATCAGCTGTGGGACACTGAGCAAATTGCCCGCAGCTCCTGGAACAAAAAGTACATCTCTGATGGTAGTGTGCAGACTTGCAAGTTTCACAGTCCCTTTTCCTGCAATTTGCAACGTCCTTCCATCAGCCAGGTGGATCTCTCCATCTTGAGGTGTGAAGGAGATAAAGAGATGGCGGTCCTTTGAGACATGGCGGCTGGCGCCTGAGTCCACAACAAATCTGGCCTTTGGAGCAGCTTTTGCAGCAAGCAAAGCCTTGTTTTCCACCGGTGTGGGCTTTTGCAGCTTGCCCCCCTGCTCCTGGCCATCAGACTTGCCTTCAGCCTTTGGTGAAGCAGTGCCAGCCTTGTTTTCCACTGGCGTGGGCTCTTCACCCCCCCTTCTGCTTTGGGCCATCTGCAGGCATCTTGCTCTGTTTACCTCTGGCCTTCCGGCCTCCGCAAAGGCGATGACCTTGGTTCCCACGAGAAACAGAGCTCTCAGCTGCCGACTCCTTGGCTCCCCCTGGAGGCTGGAATGCTGCCTGGGATGACGTGACAGTCAACTCCCCCTGCAGCTTGCAACCGGTGCCCTCGGCATCCCTGCATTCATTCTCATTCTGGGAAACAGCCAGGACCTCCGATGCAGTCAAACTCTGGGCATTCAGACTCTGAGCTGGGATGACTGGCAGATGAGCTTTTTTCAAAGCATTCCACATCTTACGTGCCGTCACGTTGCCAGCAAGCATTTTTATTTCCTCCAGAGAGACGGATAGGACTATTACGTCCACGGCCCTCAAATTCTGGGCCTCCCATTTCTCTGTCAGAGGAACTGGAGGGGCTTCACTCACAGTATGCCAGACTCCATACTGACGCAGTAAACTCTCACACCATTTTGCCCAGGTCTCATAATTGTGCCGATTTAACTTAGGGCATTCAGCAGCTTCAGACGCTTGGAAAAACTCCATTCCAGGTCTTTTGCTTTAGCCGTGAGTCTTTTATGCCTTCAAAGACGTGTTATCTCGGCAGCTCATTAATCACGATGCCTCTGGCTCGGCTCCCAGGCCAATTAAGCCCTGCCAGACATCAAAGACTCTTTGCCGCGGCCCAACAGAAAAGCCTCCTCTTTCGCTTTTCCACATACCTCAGCAGTCTTTTGCAGTCTTACTCTCCTGTAAGTGCCGTGAATCTGGGCCCGAAACCTGTTGTTGGGATACTGCCAGGGAGATAACGT